ACAAAAGACATTTGTTTAGCAAGTTCAGGAACATTTTAAAGTCTCACCTAAGGGAGGGAGAGGGCGGCACCAAGTCCCAGAGCTAGTTTATATGACTGCTGCAACTGTGCCTTTAAAACTCTTACATCCATTCCAGACTTCTCATTAGCCTGAGGTTTGTGCTTTTGCTGCACTGGAGCAGCTGAATCCATTCCAGATCTTGCATCAGCCCATCAGGCTGGTTGCCCTTCTGAGCAGCAGTGGCAGCCCCTAATTTCCACACATCCCTGTAATTTTATCCTTCTCCCTGCTTTCAGCTCTAAAGCAGAAGCATACTCCTGAATTCTGGGGATCTTTCAACCAATCGCCAGCAGTCTTTGGTCCCAAGGTTTTTGGTTTTTTTTTTTTTTTTTTTACTTTTGGGTGCCACACTTGTTTGGGTCCCTTGGGGTCTGGCGGTTCCAGCCCGGTCCTCCTGCCTCTTCATGAGATGCCCAGGCTGCCTCACCACAACTAGGAGAGCTGACACCAGGGTTCGTGCTGTCCACTCCCAGGCCTGCCCTGAGACTTGACAGGACGCCCTGAGAATCACCTGAGAGTGCTTCCTGCCTCTGGGAGGCCCAACTGGACGAGGCCATTTCCAAAAACAATTAGCAAGAGACAAAGTGGAGTGTGACCTCCAACGTAGGTATCCTTCAGGAGCTCAGGACACACACCACCAACACCATGAAATATAAATACAAAATGTTGGGGGAGGGTGTTTACAATCTAAGAAGGAGGAGAGAACACACTCTGCCCATCTCACTCCCCATTGCAGCTGGAGGCTTTCATTCTCCCAGTGGAGAGGTGCACTAGGCTGGACAGAAGAAGGCTGGACACATCCCAGAAAGTGCCCAATAGAGAAGCCCCCTAAACTATGATGTTTTACATATGGGGGTGGGGCCCAGCTAGGCCACCATTCAGCAGGAGCCTCTAGAACTCAGTATGTGGTGACTACTGTCCTGCCTTCCAGCAAACTCACATCTGCTGAGGCAGCTAGTTGGTAAACCCTGACAATGAGGGAGAAAATGAGCCTCCAGAGCCCTGTGGCTTGTCTCTCTCCCATCAAACAGTAAGGGGGGGCCTCTCAGCTTCCAAAGAGTAATAGTGTCAAAGCTGAAACAGCAAGCCCAGTGCTCATCTTGATCTCCTACAGGCCTGAGCCTGACCTTTACCCATAAGATATGAATGAGTGTCTGAGGGATTTAGTGGAATAGTGGATGGGAACCTGGAAGCCGATGAAACTACAACATAATTGTCTACAGGTAGGGCATTGTGCACTACTCTACACCATGGACCCAATGACACTGGGGTTCCAAAGAAAACATGTAAGTGTATTTATTTCTCAAGTGTTACCTATTGCTGAGACAGAGAATCTTTTTTTAAAAAAATGCACGTATAGACTCTTCTTTCAGAACTTTGCGTTTTATTTTTTTTAAGATTTAAAAAATTCATTTATTTATTATTTGGGGTGGGGGAGAGGAGCACAGGGGAGGGAAAGGGACCAGCGGACTCTCCACCAAGCAGAGAACCTGACATGGGGCTGGATCCCAGGACCCTGAGATCATAACTTAAGCCAAAACCAAGAGTCAGACCTATGCTCGACGACTGAGCCACCCAGGTGCCCTAGAACCTTGTGCTTTCCAATTTACCATAGGAACATTAATGGCAACCAAATTCGATTTTAGTGAAATCCTTCTGTGCCCTTTGAAGAGTAGCATCCAAAATAATTAGCAGACTTGGAAGGACTGTTTCTCCCACCCCGGCACCTGGAGCCCTCTCCTTCAACCTTAGCCTGGGGAACCCAAAGAGCCGAGTCCCAGCTCCCTGTTCCTATGCCTTGGTATTTGGGAAGGAAGTAGTAATAAAAAGCCACAGCCCAGGAATGGGCTCTCCTGGGCTTCCTCACTTCCACTGCTCCCCTAGCCTCCTCTACCAGCTTCATGCCATGTTGGGGAGAAAATTGGAGCCTGGGTTAAAACCGCCTCTCCAGGAAGCACAGGCTGTTGCACAAGAGGGCTGGCCCTCTCCAAGGTGTGAAATGGCAGAGGTTGGTAGCCTGGGAAAGAGGGGCTAAGGAAGAGTTTTGAACCTCACTACCTGGGAGAAGCCAGTCCTCCACCTGAGCACCCCTTCTGCCTTCCAGGGAAAACAATAACCATTTAGAAAGACATAAAAAGCACATATTTCAGTATACATTTTTTTCCCTTTTGCCTTAGGTTCCAACATAGCTTGAACAGCACTGTGGAATCCAGTTTTGATTTAAAATTTTTGTATTCTGCTCATTAGGGATTTTTGCATTAGTTTTTTTTTTAAATACTGCATTAAACTATTACTTATCTTGATTATTGAGGGTTTTTTTGGCACACCCTCCAATATTGTGGCCCAGGTAAGTACCTCTGTGGTCTCACCTTAATCTTGGCCACAGCAGTAGGGTAACATCAGACTTCTGGTTTTCTCGTTAGGACATAAGTGGAGCAAGTCCAAAGGAAAGAAAGGAAAATGCAATAGGGTAGCAGAAGCAAAGCAATGTAATTAAAACTCTCCCCAACTTTTGGACTTAAAACAAGTTAAACAGCTTATCTGAGGGAAAAAGTGAGACAAACATGAAAAAGAATCAAATGCCTTATAAGCATTTACCTATAGACAGAGGTATGGTCTCTGGCAAACAGAAATGAGTTTTCTGTCTTCATACAGTCAACCTGAATTTGAATTTTCCACTTGTAGAATGCCATACTGGGCCCTGGAGTTACGAGGACAAAAAAGAGTGAGAGCTTCCAGTCTGATGAGAAAGACCAGTAGGCAACAACCAACAGGAATCCAACTCCATGAGTGCTCATAAATAGTTTGGAAGTACAGAGATTTAAACAGAGGTTCTTTTCTTTTAGTTTTTGTGGTTTTTCCTAGATGAGTATCTCATTTGTATTTGTGGGATTTGAACTTATGGAGGTGAGCGTGTGACAACATGACAAGGCCTATGCCATTCAAAGATTTTTACTACATTTCCCCAGAGAAGGGGGCACATTACACCATGCGGGGCCACAGTGGAAGCATCAGGTTTTCTCAGGATACAGAATCAGGAGCAAGGGGAAAGTTTAGGCCAGGGACTTTATTGGGGTTTCCACTGGGAAGGCAGGGCAGGGCAGAGTAAACAACTTAGGACTGGCTAGTTTGAACAATACATGGTAGGCTTTGGCCTCTAACGGTGTCCTCTAGCTGCCTGGTACTTGGCCCTCAGATGATTTAGGGCAGGGGAATTATTGGCTTGGTGTGTGAGAATTAGTTAAAGGGAGTGGTTGGCTTGCATATGACAGGTATGCTCTCAACCAAGTTGTTTCCTATCTTTAGAAATTAGCACTAGGAGGGCAGTCTCTGCCCTGACAGCAAGATTTTTAGAGTTAAAACATCATAACATACAGAAAATTAAAAACATGATTAATACATTATGTGATGGGGAGAGAAGTTATAAGTATTAGACAAAATCATAAATATAAAGCATTAATGGTATAGTGAATTGAGGAAATAGAGTGCTTTGGCGTTGGTGGTGGAATTATTTCCATTTTTCCAAAGAGTTGGGAGGAAACCTTCTCCAGGATATGGAAATGTTTGGAAAACTTAGTAATGGATTTGTGCACAGGCTTGGGAAATTAACATTTATTGAATATCCAGCCGGGTACTTTACACAAACAAGGCTTCATTACCGTCCATAAACCACTTTAGAGGAGGAATGGTTTTTAGAAATGAATCCTCAGCAGTTTGGTGCCTGCCTTTGGCCCAGGGCGCGATCCTGGAGTCCCGGGATCGAGTCCCACGTCTGGCTCCCGGCATGGAGCCTGCTTCTCCCTCCTCCTGTGTCTCTGCCTCTCTCTCTCTCTCTCTCTCTGTCTATCATAAATAAATAAATCTTAAAAAAAAAAAGAAATGAGTCCACAGGCTCATATAATTTAGGCATAGTTAGCTAGTCCACTATTTCATTTCTAGTAAAATAAATGACAGATATGTGACTTTCAGGTCTCACTGGGCTGCCCAAAGTCCCTTACACCAGACTGCCTTTGGAAAAGGGAAAAGGATTCATCCTTAGCTTACGATCGAAGACACTTCTCCCACCCGCACTTTAATAGTGGCAAAGCTAAGCATGGGCCATCACCGTGCCTCAGTGATGCCCACTGGCACGCTCGGCTCATCTCTTTATACACCCAGGGTACTTACCCTCGGGGATTAAACCTTGGGGGGTGAGGGGATCCATTGGCTATACACTTTGCATTGCCTTAATAGGCTGAAAAATCACCGTGACGACCAAATTGAGAGCGGCTGACGTTCAGATCCGGTACTTGGGCACCTTTTACTCAGGGAAGGGGTTGAAATTATGCCCTTGACGACCATTTCCCCCTATTCGGAAGAGGAGCCTTGCACCTCTGGCTGATTCCCCACTCTGCCCCTACTGAGCCCACAAGGCTCAGGGCCACCTCTCTGCTAGGGACATGCAGGGCGAGGGAGGCTGAGGGGGAAAGCGAACAGTGTCTAGGTTGGAAAATGAAGAGAAGCTAGGATGGGGGGGGAGCAAGGACGGAGAGGATTTAGGGCCTGACTTTGAGGATCCCAGGTGTAAAATTTCGCAATGGGGCTTGAGAGAGAGAGAGCCAAGCAGATTTGGGAACAAAGAGCAAAAAGGGTCCGCGCTGGGCAAGTTTGGGGACCGGAATGGGAGGGGGGAGAACAGGAGCTGTGACGGGGAGCAGGCGGCAGCCCGCGGACCTCGCGCGGCGCGGCGGCGCGTGGATCCCAGCTGCAGCGCGTCCCTAAGGCCCTGGCTCTGGGCCCGCGGGGCAGGGGGCGGGGCCTCGTCGGGAACCGCCCCTGGCCCCGCCCAGTGGGCGGGGCTTCCCCGGCGGTTACATAACAAACCTGTCGGAGCGGCCGGGGAGCGGCTCGGGCGGTGGCGGCGGGGGGCGGGGCCTGGGCGGGGCGGGGGCGGGGCCAGGCCAGCACCGGGCCAGGCAAGATGGCGGCCATGGAGACCCAGTCGGCGCCGCTGACCCTAGAATCGCTGCCCACCGATCCGCTGCTGCTCATCTTGTCCTTCCTGGACTACCGGGACCTAATCAAGTAATGGGACGCCGCGCGCGGCAGGGGTGGGGCGCGGGGTGGGGGGGACAGTGAGGCAGGAGGCCCGGGGGGGGGGCCGGCGTGCGCCCAGGACCCGGACTCCCGCGTCAGGGCCGCCCCGATCCTGCAGAGCCACCCCGGGGCCTGGGCGAGCCGCGGGCGGACGGCGCCCCGCCCGCAGGGCTTCCTCGGGCCCGGGGCCCCGCGCGGAGGAGGGGCGGGAAGCCGGGAAGCCGGGAAGCCTCTCTCCCAGGCCTCGGCCCGGCCCGGGGGTCGTAAGGTGCGGAGGTCCTGCCCCCGCGGCCGCCCCGCTGACCCCGGCGCCCCGGCCCCGCCCCGGACGCCGAGGAGCAGCCCCGGCCGGCCCCGCGCCCTCCCCCGCCTGGGCCCGGGGCCTGCGGAGTCGCGCGCCCGAGTGGGCAGGTGAGGCGCGCCCCCCGACCCTCAGGTGCGACCGCCGTGTCCCCGCGATGCTAGCGGGGCTCGCTCTCCCACACCTGCGCCGGCAACCGTCGTGCTGTCCGCCGTCCCCGTCACGGTTGCCCGTTGGATTCTGTGTTTTGGTGGTGACTTCCGGTGGTGCGATACAGGTGACCGTCGTCTCCGCCGTGCGCCTTGGGGTTTCCCGCATCGCCCGCATCCGTTCCAAAAATAAAGCCCCGGTTGCTGCTCGAAGGGTGGTTAAAAGCCGGGTTCCTTCCGCGCTCGGGACTGGATGGTGGCAGACATGGCGCTGTTTACACCCTTGACAGCTGGTGGCATGGCTCTGTCTTTTCTTGTGCCACCATATATTTTTGCAGCGGAGGCAAAATCGCCCTCTTAAGGATCGGTAGGCGAGACTCGTTTTGTGTTTTGTTTTGTTTTGTTTTTTTGGATTACCAGTTTGATTCTCACCGTTTGAGGACTGGGCCCTGTGCTATCAGAAATTCTTTTAGAAAGACAGTATTATTAGATGCATTGACATTGGGTGGTTGGCCTAGCTAAGTGGTGACGGAGGGAACACTTCAGTTTCTGGCTGCCATCTATATTAGTACCTGTAACTTTCTTTTTTTCTTTTTTTCTTTCTTTCTTTTTTTTTTTTTTTCGAGAAAATAATTTTCTCTCTCTACCCAGGCTTGTACGTAAAGCAGAGAAGTAACGTTTGTCTTTTCTTTTGGAAAAGGCAGTTCCAAGAGCAGACATTGTTTTCCTCTGAAATGTTTTTGTTCCTGTGGCTTCTTAGAAATCTAACAGGCGCACATACATTGCTGCTAGAGTGATTTTTTTTCTTTTCTTTTTTTCTTTTTTTCCTAAGACAGATCTGGCTATCAGTCTCCTTAAAAACCGATGGGATGGTGCTCCTTGTTTGCAAAGTATAACCTAAACTTCTGGGAGCATTTAAGGTCCTTATCAATTTGGCACAGTCCACTCTAGCCAAATCAGACCTATGCCAGCACACCGTACACTTATTTTGTTGTTGTTGTTCTGTGGCTTAAGCTCTTACCCCTATCTGGAATGCCTTGTCTGCCTTCTTTGACCCTGGCAAGATGGAATTTAAAGACCCTCCTCTCTACCTTCTTCCTTCCTCTGCAGAGTTTATTTGCCATACCAGATAGATTGTGCATGTCTTAAAAGTAGACTGTCTTGTTTATTTTAGTATTCATCATTTACTCAACAGATTTTTTTTTTCAGTGCCTGCTGTGTGTCACTTGGTTAAATGTTGGGGATATAATAGTGAACAAGACAGATAAGTCCCCTCTTATGAAGCTTACAGTCTTGTGGGCAAGATGGGAAAACAAAGTGCATAATTACAAGACGCGCTATGAAAGAAAGAAATTCTGTAAAGAAATGAGAGGGAGGGATGATCAGTTCAAATTGGAAGGAGTTGCCGACTATGAAGGATGGCATAGAGCAGTCCTGGCAGAGGGAACAGTGTATTCAGAAGCTGATTGGACAGTAGCGTAGCCAGGACAGGTACTAGAATGGTGTTGCAGGAGGTTAGTGAGTGACTCACAGGCAGAGTGCCTTGAGAAGAGACTGGTGAGATCATGCAGGACCTTGAGAGCCAAGATGAGGGGGATCAGATTTTATTTTATTATTTTTTTTAAAAGGATTTTATTTATTTATGAGAGGCACAGAGAGAGAGAGAGGCAGAGACATAGGCAGAGGGAGAAGCAGGCTCCCCACAAAGAGCCTGATGTGGGACTCGATCCCGGATCCCGGGATCACGCCCTGAGCTGAAGGCAGATGCTCAACTGCTGAACCACCCAGGCATCCCCAGATTTTATTTTAAAATGCTTTAGGTGGGAACCTTTTTGTTCTGTTCAGGCCCTCAATGGATTGGATGAGGCCCACCCACGTTGTCCACCATTTCAAATGCTGATCCTTTCCAGAAACATCTTCACAGACACACACGGAAATAATGTTTAACCAGCTATCTGGGTTTTCCTTGGCCCAAGCAAGATGACACATAAAATAAACCATCACAAATAGCATCGAATTTCATCTACAGAAAAGTTTCTAGTGTACTACAACTTCAAAGTTTCCTGCACCATTCACCTCCACTTTGCCAAGTGTCCTGCCCACTGCTGAGCTCCAGAGTTGTGGAGCTGACCTGGATCAGGTCGGATTGGAGTATCTATTGGGGGATCATTGTGTAGTATTAGCTGCACAGTGTGAATCTCCCCCATTCTAGGGTGATTTGTTGTGTTCATCCTGAACCCATACTGTGTATCAGAACTCCATGTGACACTTCTTAAACATACACATGCTCAAGATACAGATCTTAGCCCAAGCCAACAGAGTCACAATGTCTAGAATAGTAGTTCTCATCCTTCATGTGCATCAAAATCACCTTTGGGGCTCATTTCAGGGATTCTTTGATATCGCTTACCTCTTGGGATAGTGGAGAAAGAAGGATCAAAAATTGAGGGAATGGAACTGGAGGGATTGACAGAACTGGAGGGATTCCTATGTTTGCAGATATTTGTGTGGGCACCTCCTGAGCTTAGCAGAAAAGGATGAGGATGATGTTTGTGGGAAATCTGAAAATCAAACAAAGGCTGTTTTGTTTACCACAAGTTGCTTTTTCACATGCCCTAGTCATGGCCTTGACAAATCCCGTGTGATTTAAGATATACTTAATTGATTTATCTGTTGCCCAGCTGAGATCCTTGAGTATTAACTTTCTATAACTTGTGATTCCTTTTCTGAAAGGATAGATGTCCTAATTTCCATTTTCCTAATGGGAAATGGACCGGAGCACTCATGTATTAGAAAACTCTATATAATAAGAAAAATTTTTATTTCCAATATTCCATGTTTTTCAGCAGCTGATACTAACTTGGATCACTACAGACAGTGAATCAGAACTATTATGAATCTGAAGTATTTTATAGATGGGCTCTCCAAGAGTTGCTATAATTAAAATTGATTTTGGCTGCACTATTTTTTTCCTTTAAGAAAAAATTGGAACAAAACAGACAAAAGGTTTATGTATTTAATATCAAATGTGTCACAGATCTTAAAACGAATACCATTTTGTTTACACCTGAATAACATTTTTTTCCTATACGTAGAAATACTGTCCCAGTAGTAAGTGTAGGAAAACTCTTTGGTTTGAAATTAACTCTGTTGGTTTATATGTTTTATAGACTTTCATATGAAAATTACAGTTGTAGAGGTTTTGGAGTTTGTGAACTCAAATAGTTAAGATTTCACCACTCATGAGGTAATTATACCAGCTAACATGCTAAACAGGTTTTAGAAAATTGCTTTACAAAATATTGCTTCACAATTATAAGGGTGGAAAGTAGGAAATAAGAAAAGTAAAAAGAATGAAACAAAACAACATTGAATATTTTCATCTTTATTTCTAAATTGTTTTCTTGTTTTCTTTTATACTAACCATGAATCTGGTTACTGCCAGTTGTTGCTATGTCAGTCGAAGACTTAGCCAGCTATCAAGTCATGATCCGCTGTGGAGAAGACATTGCAAAAAATACTGGCTGATATCTGAGTGAGTATTCATGAAATTATGTATTTTTGAAATTCGGCCCTTGGCCTCCATAACACTAGTCTGTCCTGATTCTCCTCTCTCACCCTTGTCTCTTTATTTCCTTTGATGGCTCTTCTTGTGCCTGCCAGTAAATGCTGGTGTTCTCTAAGCTTCTGTCCTTGGGCCACTGCTCTTCTCCCTCTATGAATTCTGCATGCACTGTTGCCATTATAGTGGCTGCTTGTGTGCTCCTAACTCCAACACCTGACCGTCTGTCCCTGATATCCCCACCGAGATCACACCACCTGCTGGACCTTTCCATCGGATCACCCACAAGGGCTTTCTAAGTTCAGTAAATGTTAATAAATTTGACCAAATGAAAGTATAGTTGGCAAAAGATGACAGCTGGGAAAGATGAGAGGTAGGGTTGCCAATATCTTTTTCTTAGATCAAGGGATGTGAAGTAGTGACAGGTTGGCAAAGTAAGAAGTAGAAGTCTAAGTATATTATTTAAAGCTGCAAGCTACCTAATAGAACTAAATATAACAGGGCTATCAAACACTGAGATAAGGAAGACTGGGGAGGAAGAAATTTTAAGGATTGCCAGGAACTGATCTTTTACCTTGGGGTGTCATCAGTAGATAGATGTAAAATCGATCAATCAAGTCTAGAGGCATAAACATCTAGAATTACAGAGATACCTTCCAGAAATAATGAAAGTTTCCTTTGAGGGATTGGGCTTAGAATAGGGAACCAGTTGTTCATTCTAGGTTCTTTGGTACTTTTTGGTTTTGATAATATGTATATGTATTATCTTGGTTAATAAAAAGATGCTTCCCTTCTAACCACTGCACTCCCCCGCCCCAGCCCAGCAAAACAACACCTTGAATTTTTCTTTTCACCATCCCTAAACCTGATCCTCCTACATTCCTAGTCTTCATGGCGATACCATCCACCTGGGCATTCCAGCCAGAAACAGGAATTATCCTAGATCTCCTCTCTTTCTCTCCCTACATCCATTCAATTACCAAGCCTTCATGATTTTAGCCTCAGTATATTTCTTGAATTTTCCTTCTCATTTCATCCAGCCATCAGTTTTAGTTCAGTTCATCATCTCGTACCAGGACTACTCGAAACTCTCTTGATTCATCTCTTGTGCCTCTAGTTTACACACCTCCCAGACCACAACCACAGTTCTGCTCTTTCAACTCCCCTATTAAACCCTTCAGTAGCTCTCCATTCGCTACAGGACAAGGTACAACCTCATTAGAAGGAGACTGGAAAGGACTTTTGTGGCTGCCTTATCCTGTATCACTTCTGACACTTAAATTTACACTTCATTCTTTCTCCCTGGTTAGAATATATATATATTTTGAGGGCAAAAAATGTGCCTCATTTTTAATGTCCTCAGTGGCTGAGTAGACACTCAATAAATGCTTCTGGAATTGTACCAAATAGAGATATCATGTGATTACTTTGAATGCTATATGATTTCTTGGCTAATCCAATGTAAGTAAATTAGATTAGTTTTATTATATCATTAAATTCTGAGTGGTTTCTAAAACAGAATGACATGTGTTTTAAAACTTTATAATTGATATGTCTTAAGGAGTAAGTTGAAATTCATACCTCCTATACTATCCACATTATATTTTATTAAGGAGTTGAAAACTTAGGGAAGAGAATAAGTAGAAAGTAAGAAAATAGATGATTCATAATCCCCCCATGCCAACAATAACTCCTGTTAAATTTTTGGATGTATGTATCACTTTTGCTATCTAGTCTTCATTCGTAGCTAAAATAAGTAAAAAGGCAAAAGTAAGCACAAATTCCCAATAAAGTATGTTGGTAAGTGTTTAACTTCATTTCAAAAGATTTTTAATCTCATTTTTTAAAATCTATTTAGGAAGAGAAAACACAGAAGAATCAGTGTTGGAAATCTCTCTTCATAGATACTTACTCTGATGTAGGAAGATACATTGACCATTATGCTGCTATTAAAAAGGCCTGGGATGATCTCAAGAAATATTTGGAGCCCAGATGTCCTCGGATGGTTTTATCTCTGAAAGGTACTGGCAATGTAGGGTCTCCCTTCATTTTAGTAACCATAGTATAAATAGGTTAAATAACTTTGGGTTTCTATCATCTATGCTAATCTGTAATTCACCAACATTATCTGTAATTTACCATTCACATTTGGCCTAGGAACTAGGAAGTCTATATTGCTAAAAGGACCCTTGCTCTACCGCTTGTCCCATTTTTGCCTGCCTTGGGACTCACGTGATTATTTATTAGAGGGAAAGTTGAACTCCTTGTGTCCTTATATTTGTTTTACAATAAGCTCACTAATGCTAAGATTGCTCGAGGATAACTACTGTGATTTCTTTCAAAGGAGTTTTTTTAATTGAAAAACAGCCTGCTGCGTTAACCCTCTTTATTTTTAGTGCAAGTAAAGTTTTATGTGAAAGTCTAATGATTTAGAAAGACCAAATATTAAAGACCTGGGTCTTTCAGAGGATAAGAGCAGCATAATAAAGTAAGGAAAACATTCCTTACTTTTTGACATATATAGAATAGTGAAAACTAAGATTTGAACTGAGGTCTATTTGACCCCAGAATTTGTGGTCTTTCTCCTATACTATTGTTGTCCAACTCTGGCAAGAAATATTAACAAACTATTTCCCAATATTTTGATTTGTTAATTTATGCCCAGGAGAGTTCATAAATAGATTGCTCCTTACCTGCTTTAGCCTCCCAAGTTTTTTTTTCAGAATTCTTCACTAAAAAGGACTTTTTTTTTTTTTAAAGATTTTATTTGTTTATTTGAGAGAAAGAGCACAGAGGGAGGGACAGAGGGAGAAGCAGACTCCCCGCTAAGTCGAGAGCCTGATGCAGGACTTGATCCCAGGACCCCAAGATCATGACCTGAGCCAAAGGCAGACACTTAACCCACTGAAATTGGGATCAGTTCTGAACTAAGGTTTCTTTGGAAACAGTATTCCTTTTACATTTCATATTTCCACCATAACTTCCGATGCAAATGTGAATTTCATACAGACCAGGATCGCATGACTAGGTACTTCAAACCAAATTGCTAAGAGGTAGAGGAAAGAGTGATTTGTCAGAGAGAGTAGAGCTTTGAAGGAAAGTATCCTTGATTAATATCTTTCATAGCTTTTTTTCTTGGAAGAAAAGAATAATGTTCACTTGGTACGTGGGGCTAAATAATTTCAAAAGAAAAGTGATTCTGAAAATAGATATTTTGTGGTGAGAAATAAAATAGGTAAGGGTTTGTAATTGCTATTACTTTATTAAATACAAAGCAAGACACTAAGCTAAATACTTTGTATTATTCCATTTAACTTGCCAAAATCTTATGAGGTGTAGACAATTATTATTCCCCTTATGAAGGTGAACTGCCTAAGACATAATAGGCTAAGTAAGTTGTTTGCCATCACAAAATGTAGGGCAGAATCAGGGTTTGAATACAGAGCTGACACCAGAGCTATGGTTTTAACAATTGAAGGGAGAGAGGACCTATTCCATTTTGTCCAGAGTGCCTTAGGACTCTTGGAGAGCTAGTTCAATGTTAGGACATTTGGAATATGAGAATATAGGCATGGTTCTCCTTTCAGACACAGAGCTACCAAGAAAGGAAGAAAAGGAAGAAACTAAAGATACATAGCAGCTTCTCTCTCTCTCTCTTTTTTTTTTTCTTTTTCTTTCTTCCTCCTTTATTTTTTGGACTCCATTTGGCCTTTGCAGGTTCACTGCTCACTGTTCTGTACCTGGTGGTTGGAGGTAAGGTTCTTCAGAGACTTCCTGATAGCCCCTGTTTTACTCCCAGGTGCCAGCTCTCCGGGGGTTTTGCTTGAGTCGGAGTGGGATAAAAGCTGTTTGATATCTCGAATGCTGGGGACTCTAGGGATGCCAGGCCTATGAGTTGTAGGACTGAGTCAGGAACTAGCTACTCACCTCAAGGGTCACAGTCCCTCATTTAATCTCAAGGTTATGGAGATGGCAGAGACAGAAAAGAAACTTGGAAAGCAAATAGGCGTTGGTCTTGGGCAAGGCTTCACAGAGCACTGGAAATTATGGTATACTTATATATCTTTTACCAGTGTATCTAATGGTATAGATCATGTGTCTTCAAATTTCATATTTACCTTACGTGTGGACTTAGAACTTTAGAGTTGAAAGGGGCCTTTGAAATCATTTAGACCAGAGATGGGCAGACTTTTTCTTTAAATGGCCAGATAGTAAATATTTTGGTCTTTGAGAGAAAGATAGTCTCTGTCACAACTCTCCAACTCTCCTGTTATTGTGGAGAAGCAGCCATAGACAGTATCTGGACAAATGCGCATGGCAGTGTTTCAAAGAAAACTTTATTTACAGAAACAGGCTGTAGGCCGGGATTTGGTCTGCAAGCTTTAGTTTGCCAATCCCCGATTTATGCCAGTTCCCTCATTTTACCAGTGAAGAGAACAGACTCAGAGAGTTTTAGGTGACTTACACGAAGTCCCATAACTAGTAAGTGACAGAGATAGAACTTTAATCTAGGTTTCTTGGCTCCTGGTAACCTTTTCCCTGGTTTTTCACACAAGTAGGCTAAGGGGCAAAGAAAATTAGTGAATATTTATTGAGTGCCAGGAAAGCACTCTATTAAGCAGAGGAAGCATATTTAATCCTCACGAGAATTCTCTCAGGTAGATAGTACTATCTCCCCATTTTGCATATGAAACAGGGTTAAAGAGGTGAAATAACTTGCCAGAGATCACACAGCTAGTTAAGTGGTAGAGCTGAGATTTGAACCTAGTCTGGTTGGCTCCCAAATTCTACTATAACAGGATGCCCCTCTAAACCTTAATTTTATTGTATTGTAAACATTGTATTTCCTTATATTTTTCTCTTGTTTAACTTTTTTCTGTCCAACTATCTCTTCAAGAAATTCTTATTTTCTTGATGTTATATGTTAAATGTCCAACATGTAGCACTAACCATACCAATATTAGTTTCTTTTCTCATCATTTTCTGGTTCAGGCAGCTATTCAGCTTGTTTTCTTTTGTACTGAACTTTTTTTTAATATAAACTTTTTATTTTGGAGTAATTTTAGCTTACAGAAAAGTTGCAAAGGCAGTATAGAGAGTTCTTGTGCACCCCTCACACAGTTTCAGTTTCCCCTAATGTATCTCCCTGTGGGACTTTTGTCAAAACTACAGTCTTCATTGGCACATTGCTATTAACTAAACTCCAGACTTTGTTCGGATTTCACCACATTTTCCATTAATATCCTTTTTGGATTCCAGAATTCAATCCAGAATACCACATTGCATTTAATTGTCATGTCTCCTTAGTGTTTCTCCATCTTCTTTGTCTTTCATGATCTTGACAGTTTGAAGGAGTTACTGGTCAGGTATTTTATAGAATGTTCCTCAAACTGGCTTTGTTTGAAATATTACCTATGATTAGGTTGGAATAATGGGTTTTTAGAAAGATTACCACAGAGATGAAGTAGTCTTCTCATCCCACCATACCTAAGGGCACGAGACATCCACAAGCTGTCACTAGTGATGTTAACTAACATACAGAAATGTGTGTAGATTCTAAGTGTACAACTTGGTAAATTATCACAACATAAACATGACCATTGTAACACCCTCCAGGTCAAGAAGTAGAATGATTTTCTTTTTTTTTTTTTAATTTATTTTTATTTATTTATGATAGACATAGAGAGAGAGAGAGAGAGGCAGAGGAGAGGGAGAAGCAGGCTCTAGGCCGGGAGCCCGACGCGGGACTCGATCCCGGGACTCCAGGATTGCGCTCTGGGCCAAAGGCAGGCGCGAAACCACTGAGCCACCCAGGGATCCCCTAGAATGATTTTCTGTACCTAGAACCCTCCTTCTTTCTCAGGGGTAACCACTATCCTGATTGCTAATAGCACTGAGTAGTTTCCTCTCTTTTTGAACTTTATATAATTTGCATGATTAAGTACATATTTTGTGTGAATTTTTTCTGTTGTGTTTGTGAGATTGAACTGTATTGTGTGTAACAGTAGCTTGTTCATTTTTGTTGCAAGTGTAGTCTACTATTATATGGGTAGACTATAATTTATAGTCTATATAATTTATAAATTCATTCTACTGTCGATGGATATTAAGTTATTTCTAGTTTTTTGGCTGCTATAAATAATGTTGCAAATAATTTTTGATGTACATATGAACATACTTCCCCCAGGTAAATATCTAGGATTGAGCTTCCTGGATTGTAAAGTATGTTTATATTAAACTTCAAAAGATACTAATAATTTTCCATAGCAGTTCTTTTTTTTTTTTAAGATTTTATTTATTTATTCATGAGAGACACAGAGAGAAAGAGACAGAGAGGCAGAGACACAGGCAGAGGGAGGAGCCGGCCCCATGCAAGGAGCCTGATGTGGGACTCGATCCTGGGTCTCCAGGATCATGCCCTGGGCTGAAGGCGGTGCTAAACCGCTGAGCCACCGGGGCTGCCCCCCATAGCAATTCTAAAACTTTACATTCCCACCAACACTTTTAATGTTGCATTCTTTTTTTTCTTCTTTTTTTTTTTTAAGCCTTTCTAGTGGATATATAGTGGTGGCTTTAATTTGCATTTCCCTAAGGATATTGAATAATAGTTTTATTTCTAGCTTTCCAATCTTCATGTCTTTTTTTCTTTTCCTGCTTTATTGCACTGGCTAGGACCTTCAATACAATGTTGGGTAGAAATGATGATAATGAGTGTCCTTATCTTTCTGACCACAGAGGAAAAGCTTTCAACATTTCTCCTTTCTTTTTTTTTTTTAAAGATTTATTTATTCATGAGAGACACAGAGAGAACGAGGCAGAGACACGTTCTTTTTTTTTAGAAGAAAAAAGAACTGCTATGCTTTTACCTTTGCAGTGCTTATTGGATCTGTAGTGAGTGATCTCACCTTTCCTTTCTGATAATTTTTGTGCTTTATCTGTTATTTTGGATCAGTCTTGCTAGGTAGGAGTTAATCTTATTAGTCTTTCCAAAAAACTGGCTTTAGCCTTTGTCAATCCTCTCTATATTTACTTATAATTATTTTATTAATTTCTCTGATTCCTTTCTGAGTTTACTATAGTGTTTTCTTTGACTTGAGATGATTTGATCATAAATTTTCAGGCTTTCTGGTTTTCTTCGAATATCTTTGCTATAAATTTCCCTCTAAGCATAACTTTATCTCATAAGTTTTAATATGTTGTATTTTTCATTAACATGCAGCTCAAAATATTTTTTAATTTTTTATTTATTTATGATAGTCACAGAGAGAGAGAGAGAGAGAGAGAGAGGCAGAGACATAGGCAGAGGGAGAAGCAGGCTCCATGCAGGGAGACCGACGTGGGATTCGATCCCGGGTCTCCAGAATCGCGCCCTGGGCCAAAGGCAGGTGCTAAACCACTGCGCCACCCAGGGATCCCCTCAAAATATTTTTTTTTAAATATGGTTTCTTCCAGAATTTTTTGTAGTTTTTTTATGTCTATTATTATTATTATTATTTTAAGATTTTATTTATTTATTCATGAGAGAGAGAGAGAGGCAGAGACACAGGCAGAGGGAGAAGCAGGCTCCATGCAGGGAGCCTAATGTGGGACCCGATCCCAGGTGTCCAGGATCAGGCCCTGGGTTGAAGGTGGCGCTAAACCTCTGAGCCACCCAGGCTACCCCAGCTCAAAATATTTTCTGATTTCTTTTGATTTCTAGACAAGCCTGTGGGTCAAAGAAGAAATATATTGTTTGATTCCCAAGTATTGGAGTTTTTGTTTTGTTTTAGTAATCTTCTTAATATAATTTATACTTTAATTTTACTGGGATCAGAGAATATATTCTGTATGAGTTCAGTCATTTGAAATTTGTTGCAATTTGTTCTCTGGTTCAGCATATCATCTATCTTGGTAAATGTTCCACGTGCACTTGAAAAGAACGTATATTTTGCAATTGTTGGATTCAGTGCTATGTATGTAATCAGGCAAAAATTGTTAATCTTGTTCACATCTTTTGTACTCTTACTGATTTATTTTGTCTTATTTATTTATTTTTGTCTACTTGTTCTATTAGTTACTGAGAGAGGTATGTTAAAACTGGACAGTGTGGTAGACAGAATTCGAGATCGCTCCAAAGATTCCTACCCCTGCTGTACATGCCTGGTATAATAATAGCCTCCCTTTGAGTGTGAGCAGTATGTGGATATAACTGACTTCAGTCCTGCTATTAGGTAACAGATGACAAAGGTGAATGGGCTTTGCAGATGTAATTAAGGTCCCAAATTGGTTGAATTTGAGTTATTAGTTCATCAAAAGGGGAATTATCCTAAGCAGGCCTGCCCTAATCAGACAAACCCTTAAAAACTGGGCCCTTCCAGAAGGCAGAGACATTCAAAGCATGGGTATCTCCTGTTGGCTTTGAAAAAGCAAGCTGGCATGTTGTGATGAGGGCCAGGTGATCGGGAATGGCGGGTAGCTTCTAGGAGCTGAGGGCCCCAGTCGTCTGACTACAAGGAAATGAATTCTGACAATAGCCAGTGAACTTGGGTGAGGACCGCTAGCATAAGATGCCTAACCTGAGAAAGCAGCCACACTGGATGTGGTGATTTCAACCTGTGGGACCTGAGCAGAGGATCTGATTCAGTCATGCCCAGACTTCTTACCTTCAGAAACTATGGGATAATAAATGCATGCTGCTTTAAGCCGCTAATAGTATAACAATAGAAAACTAGTAACTATGGTTGTGAATATATCTTTTATCCATTTTAGTTCTGTTATTTTAAAAAATATATTTTGCAGCTGGGTTATTAGGTACACCTTTTTACCATTACAAAAAGCCGTCCATTACCTTTGATAATGCTCTGTGCCTTAAGGTCTATTTTGTGTGATTTTAGTAAGGCTCTTTTAACTTTCTTTTGTGTATATACATTTCTTAGATGTGCCTCTTACACATGATTGTGTTTTGTTTTTTAGCTGGTCTGTCAGTCTTCTAATCATTAGATTATTTATATGTAGGGTAATTATGTATTTGGGTTTAAGTATACCATGTTCCTATTTCTTATTTGTGCTCCTGAGCAAGTATTCCTTTTTTTCTATTCTTCTTAATTATCTTTTATTCTGCACATCTTTTTCTTATTTATCATTTTTAGTGATTTGCCCTAAAGATTAAAGGATGCATCTCTGACTTAATTAAAATCTATTGTAAATTAGTATTTTTACTATTTCGTGGATAATAAAAGAACCCTAGAATACTTTAACTCCAATTATCACCTCTTGCCTTTCGTATTATAGTTTTTGTGATCTCAATTTTGAACATGTTTTCTATCCCTGGAAACATTATTATCATTATTTTATATATTCCATTTTATTTTAGATTTCCTGCTTTATTTACCTTTCTCATTGCTCTTTATTTCTTCCTACATCTTCATGCTTTCATCTGGGATCATTTTTCTTCTGCCTGAAGAATTCCTTTTAGTGTATTTTTTAAGTGAGGTACTGCTAACTGCTGAATTTTTTCAGATTTTTTTTTGTCCAAAAATGTATGTATTTCATCCATACTTTTGAAATATATTCAGTGGATGTGGAATTCTAGTCAACAGTTCTTTTTTTCAGTACTTTAAAGCTATCATTCTTTCTGCTTCTGTTGTTTCTGTTGAAAATGTAACTGTTAGTCTTGTTCTTTTGAAAGTGACCGCACAGCGTTTCCCCTTCGTTGGCTGCTTTTAAGATTTCTCTTTGTCTTTGATTTTCAGTGGTTTCCCAAGGATGTGTCTAGATACGATTTTCTTTATAATTGTTCTCCATGGGGCTTCTTGAATCTATGGTTTGATGTTTTCATCAGCGTTAGAAAATTTTCTCAGTACTGCTTGCTGGAAGCTTTGCCCAGCTTCTCAGCCACAGGTTTGCTTTCAGAATTGGCAGTTGCCTCAAAGACAGGTTGCTCCCAGCACCCAGCTAACCTCGTTTCCCTGTCCTTCTGACTACCCCTTGCCCCCAGTTCTTGCTGTCTTTGAGGTACTCCAGAAGCTTTGAGACCAATTTTCTGTTCTGTTTTTCTAGTTCTTAGCATAAAGTTTACTCTAACAACCTAGTGAACCATTACTGGAAGTGAATCTCTTCTCTTGGCATTTGTCATCACTTCCTTCCTTTGAAAGCTGGAATAAATGATGAGCTGACAAATGTGCAAAATTGGATTGAAGTTAATGGTTCCCCACAGCCCAAACCTATGTCCTCTATTTCTCATTAAGAGACTATGTCAGGACTCTTGAACATCCATTTAGAGAACTTCTGGAGAGTTTGTTTTAATAGAGATATGTTTTAAATGTGAGTGTGTTGGATTAAGAAAAATCCTAAAGTTTGCATCATAATGTGAAATAATTACTATGGACCTCCCTGCTGCATACTCTTCTGTATTTTGCTGAGCGCCAGTGTCTTCCCTGTTGAGAGGAAATAGAGGAGTTTCCTTCTTCGTGCTTCAAATGTCAGAGCCAATCCAAAGTGAAGTAATGTTGCTCTGAATTTTCAATTTATTTCCCTATGTTTCAGCAGTACAACTTGGACAGAATTCACTTGTTCTTACATTGTTTCACTGGCTAGCAGAAGATTATATTTTTCCTTAGATATAAGGCTTATTGTTTCTTCATAATTTGCTTTTTTGTGCATTTGCAGAGGGTGCTCGAGAGGAAGACCTAGATGCTGTGGAAGCTCAGATCGGTTGCAAACTCCCTGATGATTATCGATGCTCATATCGTATCCACAATGGTCAGAAGTTAGTGGTTCCTGGGTAAGAAGGTTTGCCATTTGGCTTATTTTTAATGACACAAGTCATTTCCCAGAAAGAAAATAAACAGCTATGATGTGTAGTTACTCTTGACAGATTAAAGGAGTATAAGAATTCTCTCTTCTTCCCTGTAAGAATCCAAAAGACTGAATCTGTTGCTTGAATTTGATTTTCCCAAAATAAATGTCTCATAAAAACAGCACTTCGATCAGCACATCCTTATACTTAAAATTAAGTCTGATTGGGGTTGGGTGGGTGCTGTGGTACATAGGGTGGATGTGTGTGTGAGTGTTTTTTAAGTAAAACTGTTCAGAACCCTTGAAGTCTTTATCCTATTATAGACCAGGTAAATTGTTTTTGAGAGTTTAATGTAAATTCTATATACCATACATATAAAAAGCAATAATTTGTTCAGAGCTATATACACTAAAGAAAATAAGAGTTTTGTTCTATTCAGGCATAGCCTGTAATTGAATGGCCTGTTTTTAAGAGGAAGTACTCATTGGGGAACCTTTTGGAAAAAGCAGACCATGCAGTAGCTGTCAAATTCATTCACAGTGTTAAAAGCTATATACTTTGAGTCTACCCTTCTGTTCTTTTATGAAAATTAAAATTAAGCTATTTTGAAGATATTGTGCCTATGAAAAGCTCATAAAAACTTAGGGAGAACTTTGCATTATTCTTAATGGAACATGGTATCTCTTTGTGTGTGAAGAAATCTTTCCACTCAAGAGTTTGACTTCGTAAATAAATTGTGGTGTTTTTGGTGATTGACATGTTAATTCTTATAAAGCTGTCGGGAAATTATCATTCATCAAAAAGATGAAGCACAGCTCTTTAGCACTGGAATTGATTAATATTTTTGTCTCTGCTCTCAGGTTGTTGGGAAGTATGGCGCTATCCAATCACTATCGTTCTGAAGATTTGTTAGATGTCGATACAGCTGCCGGAGGCTTCCAGCAGAGACAGGGATTGAAATACTGTCTCCCTTTAACTTTTTGCATACATACTGGTTTGAGTCAGTACATAGCAGTGGAAGCTGCAGAAGGCCGAAACAAAAATGAAGTTTTCTACCAATGTCCAGTAAGTAGGAAGTGTGTTTAAATGCGGCTGTAAGATGTGTTCTGATGAGTGTATAAATGTGTGCAGAAGTTTTCAGGGCTGTAGAATGGGTATAGAGCATTATACAATTTGACTATAGATCCACCTAATTATAGGGCTAATTCGGCAATGATATTCTGACATTACAGAATGCCAAAGGAAAATTTAATCTGTGGACAAACAATGCAGATCATTGTGCACACAGAGGGAAGGCTGTGATATGTGTTAAGGCAATTTAAGTTTAAGGAAAACATAATGAGATTTTGTTGAAGTAATTGTAATATACATTTCTGACTTTAAAAATTTAGCCTTTAAGCATCATTTGACTCAAGTTCTGTGTGCAAAGGAAACTTTTTAAACTTTAGTTAGTTGAGTTGTTGAAAACTGGATCTTTTTTAAGGAAGCTTTTGTTATGATTTTAATATGATCACAGAAAATGTATTTGGTTTCATTTTTTTTTCTTCGGTTTTTGTAATTTCTAAATTGTAGATCTTCTGGCTTCATTTTTGCCCAAATGTGAACTTTTAACTTAAAAGAGGAATTTATTTATATATTTTTTAAAGATTTTATTTATTCACAAGAGACACACAGAGAGAGAGAGAGAGAGGAGGAAGGAGAGAGAGGCAGAGACATAGGCAGAAGGAGAAGCAGGCTTCCATGCAGGGAGCCTGAAGCGGGACTCCATCCTGGGACTCCAGGACCACGCCCTGAGTCAAAAGCAGATGCTCAACCACTGAGCCACCCAGGCTTCCCAAAAGAAGAATTTAAAATAGAAAATCATGGATACCTGAGACATGTGACTCCATATAACACTGAAAGTATTTAAAGAGCTTTCATAATTTTTTTTCTAAGTATTTTCATGTCTGTTAGCTCATTTTTGACTTGATATTTCTGTAAAGTTGTATGATGATAGCTTGGTCCTTCTATTTAGTGAGAAAAGTGACCAACCTAGAAATGTTCAAGTCTTTTGACTGAATCTAAAGCCCTTTCTTAATAGGTTATATATCTTCTTACTTGAACTTCCTAACTTAAAGGATAATTTTTTAGTTCACTGTAACAGTCATGACAGTACATGAGCATTTTGACTGTTATTGAGAAGTGCCTGGCACTCTTCTAAGGACTTTCTAGAAAGGACCTAAATATAGAAATTATAAGAGCAGGGACTGAAAAGTATGAGTAATGTCCAAGTGATGGTTAGAGCACTTGTTATTTTTATCTATTCTGCTTTGTCTCCAGGGAAAGATACAGATAATGAACAATGAGAAATTAAGTAAAATGTCTTTTTCTCAATTATGATATTCTTTTTCTCACCTAGGACCAAATGGCTCGAAATCCAGCTGCTATTGACATGTTTATCATAGGTAGGAGAAAGAATAGTCTTCCTTTTCCTTTCTTCTTCCTGGTCAAAAAAATTAAGTTGATAAAAACATTGCAGTTACTTGATTAGCTGGCAGTTTATACTTGTCTTTTTTAAGGCTTGCTGGTTTATAAAATAGTATATCTAGGCTCTCATTCAAATAGCTCCTGTACTTTGAATTTGTTTTCTATTTGGAAAAAAGCCATGTTCTATATAATCTTGTACTCTTAGGACTCTGCTATAGAACTTCATGAATAGAATTACTCTGAATGTATATATAGCTGTCTTACACATGGATGCATTTTCCATCAATCATATTAATACATTATTGGAGACAGATGGATAAAACAACTTTATGCCTATAAAGTTGTGGTAAAACAGTGATAAATCACACTAGAGATCTCAGAACAGCAGGCTTCAAAGACCAGTGTAAACTGAGCTCCATAAACTCTTTGGCACAACTTTTTCTTGGCCTTCAAAGGTATTTCTATAGGATTTTGAGAACAATCCTGTCTGTATGCAATTGCAGCTCACCCCTTTGCTGTTCATCCAGTCCTGTTTTGCTTAGATTTTGCTCACTTAAGAGAGGCTTCCTGACTATCCATTCTGGTTTTCAAAGGCACATATTAAACTTCCCCATGTATTAATAGTCAAGGGGCTTGTAAGCTGAAGTGTCTGCATTTAATTATATCTCCTAATTGGAACCTTGAACAGAGTAGTACTGTTCATTTGTTCCATACTGTAACACATTCCAGGCTTAAGGTATTTTTCACAACGTGGAAGCTTTCCCTACATGCTAAGTTATAAAAAACTGTTCAACTTAGCCTCCAGCTTTTAGCTCCCCATGATTCATGTTTACCTATGTTTTTTTTGTTGTTTTTTGTTGGGGTTTTTTTGGGGTTTTTTTTGTTTGTTTGTTTTGTTTTTTTGTTTTTTTTGGCATATGGTTTTCAAGTTAAGTGCCCCCTGGGAGTTATGCCCCTGCTCACTGTCCTGTTTGGCATCTTTGCATAGCACGTACCTTCAGACATGATCACCATGGCTCTAGAACAGTGGTGCTACTAATTTACAAACTAAAGGCTGCCTGAACTCTAAGGTAAATGCTAGCCAAACTCTGTGAGTTCCTCACTCTTGGTTTGATACTGGCCTGACATGGTGTGGAAGGCCCCACTGCTACAGCAGAGATCTGATGAATACTCTTCTGGTAGCTGGGATTTCTTCTGGAATAAGAGAGCAAATCAAAAGATCTGAGACCTACTGAGGGAGGAGAGATGAGATGGGATGTTAGTGCTGAGAGGAGAGACAAGAAAGCAGCTTCCTTTAAGCTGTCTTGGTAAAACCCCAGTGCTACCAAAGAGATGCCAAGCTATAGGCTTACTTTAAAAGGTAAACTACCTTGGAATGTATAAATTACATCTTGATTCAACTAAGTTTGACTTTCTTGGAATTTTTGGTTAAACACAAGATGGAATCTCCCAAGTGTTCAGTGAATTATTAACAGATATTTGAGAAAACCAGAATCTGTGTTCAGGTAAGTTGAGTGGTAAAGACTGCATGGAGAAGACTCCTCATTTTAAAGAACACACTTGGGTATGTATTGTTATAAATTGAAGTACCTTAAAATACACCATACCAGTTTCATTTTTATGTAAACCATGAAAAATTTGTGGGTTTTTTTACTCTAACATTTTATTCCATGAAATATACAAAATGATATTTTAAACTTTACAGGGAAATTACTAGTTCCAAAAACAAAATTATAGCTTCTGTGAATTTTATTGACATTATTCATGTGCCTCCTTAGTATCTTGTTCAGAGTGGATAGATGGTAGGTGATCATTTGAGTAGAACATTCAATAAGCAAAGAGTTAGGATTGACCATTCATTAGTAGATGCTAAAAGCCAACTATTATAGCTTACCTTCTCTCAGTTGATGCCTTTAAAATTTTAAAACTATAAACCCTAAGATCCAAGCTTAAATTGTATCTTCTACTATTCCTTAAATAGAATAGTAAGTAAATACTATAAATTTAGCTCCGATGTTCAGCATGGCAGAGTGTGAGAACTGTGTTAATAGAAACAAGGTTACAGAGAAATTCACTGAATAACATTGGTTCAGGGATTCATACTGCTGGGCACTGAGATGTATTAATAATAGATGTGGGGGTATGAGAAAGTTACGTCATATTACCTAGAAGTGGCAAACATAATTCACATAAATACTTGTCATTGATCCACTCACTAGATCACAGACGTGTGGTCAGGTCTGGACTGAACTTCGAGCTGGTCACTGAGAATATGGAGGGTCATTATGCATTTGAGTCGGTAGTGGTGCAGCTAGACTACTTTGGAATTGTCTGATGCCCAGAACTGTACTGTGCCATACCCCTGTTAGATGCCCGGACTGAGCCTGGCTTTTGCCAGAATTTTGTGCATAAGTCAGGAGGTAGCTGGACCAAGGGTATATATCCTGACCATCTGAGGATAGCTGCTGATATTTTTCCTGTAGTTTCTTCCTAGACCTTGCTGTATCTGTGTCTTTCTTTGTTCCATATGTTCTAGAAATTATAGACAGAAGAAAGCTTTGCATTCTGGACCAGCACTAAATAAAGTTTAAAAGTCTATTTAATTATAAGTGTAAAAAGTAGTTTGAAGGTAGATGGAGGATTCCCTAGCAAGGTAGTTGGGAAGGAGATGAATAGAATTGAGAATAGAAATTGACCTGATAATGGACTAGTAGAATTATGTGTTTCTAATTTTGATCTTATATCTTAAGCATAGTAAAATATCATTGTTTCCTTGTTTCCTGTATAGATTTTATGAAAATTATTTGTTCTTTTCTTCCTCCCCACCCCTCCCTGGTTTATAGGTGCTACTTTTACTGACTGGTTTACTTCTTATGTCAACAATGTTGTATCGGGTGGCTTCCCAATCATCAGAGACCAAATTTTCAGGTATTTCACCCAGGACTTTTTGAATTAATAAAATGATTGTAAACAGAAAAAAAAAAATTAGTGACAGATCTTGAGATGAAGTTTCAAAGAAGATTAATGACAGAACCTCTCATTATCTTAAATGTCACTGTGTTATTCTCACTTTAAAGCTACATTCAAACACTTGAATAGCCAATATATTTCTTGTTTTGAAGGATCCAGAGAAAAAAATGATTTTGATTTCAAAGCTATAGCTTTATAGTATAGTTTCTTTCTTTTGGGGGGGTGGGCGGAGGGGAGGGAGGCTGTTTGCCAGTTAATGGATTTATCGTGAATAGCAAGTCAATAATTGTTAACTCCTGGCGAATATTATCTATCATCTTTATTTTTTTTTAAGATTTTATTTATTTATTCATGAGAGACACAGAGAGAGAGAGGCAGAGACACAGGCAGAGGGAGATGCAGGGAGCCTGATGTGGGACTCGTTCCCGGGACTCCGGGATCACGCCCTGGGCCAAAGACAGGCGCTAAACCGCTGAGCCACCCAGGGATCCCCTATCTATCATCTTTAAATGAAACGTCCAGGTATTATAGATAGTATTAGAGGTAATATTGGCTCATAGTAGCCTGATTGGCAGAAATGATGGATTAATTATGAATTAGAAGTCTCTAGAATAACATACCAATGCATTTTATTGTCAGAGCCACAGTTGGTAGGGTTTTCAGATGTCCCAAAAGTTTCCTGGCTCTGAAAACTGAGAGAAGCTCTTTTTCCAGTTTCATTACTGAATCAGTTTTCAAACCATTGATCATTGAGCCTTGACTATTATCATTACTGATCTGAAGTCTTCGAGGTTTTCTGGTTTGCTTGTAATTTATCATTTTCTTCTAAGCTTCATAGGACTATACCTTTAAGTTCCTAAATATGGTTTAAACTTTTGATCCTAAGGTAAAGTAGAAGTATTTCACATTGTATCTTGATATCTTTTATTTTATGGACTTGAAGTTAGTTGATTAAAAAATGTTTAACTGTTTTAAAATTACCTAGATATGTTCACGATCCAGAGTGTGTGGCAACAACTGGGGACATTACGGTTTCAGTTTCTACATCGTTTCTGCCAGAACTTAGCTCTGTCCACCCACCGCACTACTTCTTCACATACCGAATCAGGTGAGAGATGTAAATGGGACACAGCCTGTGGATGTGTTGTTATTGCCCCCTTTGACACAGTACACCAAACACATTTTGAAAGACAGCTTTTTGTTGAGGTGTGGAGGAAGGTGGATAACAACATTTTTTATAATGTAATATAATTTTATAATTTTAAAAAGTATAATTTATAATCTAGTACCTTGGGTTTACAATAGCTTTCAAGTTACTTATGTTATTTCTTGCAAATGTACTGATTAAAGAATTGTGCCAGCTACTTTGTGAGGTGGACACTTAAGTTATAATTATCATGAAAACTCTGTGAGAGCTGCATTCTAGAAGCTATCAAATTGTTCAAGATAAAGCCATGCATTTTAAATTTTATTTAGCCTACCCATTTCCAAATTAAAACTTTAATAAATATTTAAGGTGTAATAATCCCAGTACTATTAAATAAACTTATTAAGGTGTAACCCTAGTAACTGACTGGTGACATTTTTCTTTGAGCTTTCTAGAAGTTAATGGAAAAAAAGGGAATTGTCTTCAGTCTTGGTTTTTTAATAAATTTTTCCAAAAAAAACACAAATTTTCATTGCACTATATTCTAGAAAGTATTTCGTACATTGATCTTTCCTTGAACAGCAAAAAATGATCACCAGTGTGTTCATAAAAGTTTATGTCGCCCTTTCTGTTGTTGATTCTCACAGCAAGTCAAGTGTGCAAATTGAGTAAAGGCATTTCTGTGGGAGAGTCAAGCTAATCAGGCCCACATCTTTGAGAACTTACAGAAATAGCTGGTTAGCACAGACGTTAGTTCAACAATTGTAGCTCTTAAGGAAAAGAAACAAAATCAGGCCAGATTTGTGTCTCTACTGCCTCATTCTCCAGGATTGAAATGTCAAAGGATGCACTTCCTGAGAAGGCTTGTCAGTTGGACAGTCGCTATTGGAGAATAACAAATGCTAAAGGTGATGTAGAAGAAGTTCAAGGACCTGGAGTAGTTGGTATGTAATTCGAGATTTGGGTTTATATATCCGTTGCCTCTAAGACATTTTGGAGAGCATGTATGTGACATATAGCTTGGAAAAGGCACAATGTAGTTAGTGGATAAGAATGTATCTTTTTTTTTTTTAAGATCTATTTATTTATTAAAGAGAGCATAAACACAAGTAGGGAGAGGGGCACAGAGAGAGGGAGATGGAGAATCTCAAGCAGACATCCGCTTTGCATAGAGCCTGACATGGAACTGGATTTCACGACCCATGAGATCATCATGACCTGAGCCAAAATCAGGAGTTGGATGCTTTTTTAATTTATTTTTATTTTATTTTATTTTTTTTTTATTTTTTTAGGAGTTGGATGCTTAACCAACTGAGCCACCCTTATATCCAAGACTTTATCTTTTAATAGCTGTGTTTATAGTGTAAAAGATATCATAGATTCTAAGCTTCTTGTAAGTCCAATACTTTGCTTCACAAATATAATGTGTAAACGTCATTATTCTCTTAAGTTTAGTACCTTAAACATGAAATTTTCTAAAATCATAGCAAATTATTCAGGGATTGAGTTTTCATTCTGTGGATCACCTGAGTTCCTTGTTTGCTTCTTAAATTCTTCATCTTTTTTAGCTGTTATATTCTGTAGGGTTACCAGGCAGAAGAAAATAAATTTCATATTGGTTATCTTTTTGAAATTTGGGGAAAATAGTAAAATCAGCAGCACAGATTTTTGTGAATTTCAATCAATCATCATTAGCTCTGATTGTCATTGACGGTCAGCTTTTTTGAAAGATTAGGATTATTAGGGTGCTTTAGATTTTTTTTTTCTAAGTGTTCATTTAGCTGTTTTACATGGTTAACATATTATTAGCTGTTTAACATAGTTTAACATAGTTTACATAATCTCAAAGAGGACATATCTTATTTGCTGTGATGAAGAAATGAATTTTATACTTTGGTTTCTTACTACTGTTTTCTCCACAGGTGAATTTCCAATCATCAGCCCAGGTCGGGTATATGAATACACAAGTTGTACCACATTTTCTACAACATCAGGATATATGGAAGGATATTATACCTTCCATTTTCTTTACTTTAAAGACAAGATCTTTAATGTTGCTATTCCCCGATTCCATATGGCTTGTCCAACATTCAGGGTGTCTATAGCCCGATTGGTGAGTTAAATTTTCCTCTGGGACTGATTTCCATGACTTTGTAGAATTAACTCCACAGAGGGATTTTGTTCATTAGCCAGACAACTGGTTTACAAATGGCGTTCCAGAGAACCCTAGAGATTCTGAGGAAATACCGTGGGGGGAGGGGGCCATGTGAATATGTGGGGGTGGTGGATAATAAGTAAGCTAGACTCCATACACTTCAATCAGAGTAACTCTACTGTTAGCTGTTTTATGTTTGCTTTGTTTTTATTTTTAATAGACATCATTTTTGAGCAGTTTTAGATTCACAGAAAATTGAGCAGAAGGTACAGAAATTTTCCAAACACCCCTTTCCCCTATGCATGCACAGACTTCCTCATTATCAGCATCTCCCATCAGAGTGGTATCTTTGTTACAGTTGTTGAACCTACATTGGAACATCATAATCACCCAAAATCCATAGTCTACATTAGAGTTCACTCTTGATGTTGTATGTTTTTTGGGTTTGGACAAGTGTATAGTGACACATATCTACTATGATAGTATCATGTAGAGTAGTTACTGGTTTTAAAGGTTCAGCCTCTTTTCCACCATTTCCAAAAAAAGTTCTATGGCCTAATGAGAAACACCACACTAGACCAGTTAGAATAGGCTTTATTTTGTTTCATTAAGATTAGAAAAAGAATTTCATGCAGTGTTTTTGCTAAAAATCCCAATTTTGTAATAGAAATATTCTAGAGAGAGACTACTAAAAGTACAAGTCTATCCATTAAATCCTCTTTGTAGTCATCTCTCTTTGGGATCATTTCCTAAGTCAACTAAGTATAATTTAAAATCTCATTTTTGGATTACCTTATGATAGTAGTAGTACCCCAATCTTATGGATTATAAAATGATTAGGGAATTATGAGGCTCCAACTATACAACAGAGATAAAATATGACTTGTATACCCAGGATGTGACTGAGTTGTAGGTGTTAAATGTTGAGAAAAGGCCCTCTGGCTCCTGGGAAGATGGATGTAGGATTAGTCTGATCCAGAGCTGACACGTTCCCAACCCCAGTTTGGAAACAGAAGAATGATAAGAGACTTCAGGCCATTATGCTTGCATATCTGGTGAAAAGGATCTATAGTCCGGGTTTGGAAGTGAGCTTCCCTCCCAATGGAGGAATGCTTTCTACTGTATATTTCCAGGACCAGGAACTTGTTACTTCTGTAACAGTCTCCTGTTTTTGACTAGTCCAGTTTCTGTCTGAGATTGGTATCATCCATGATGGTTTGATATAGCTCATTAGTGAAGCCATCTGGGGCTAGAGTTCTCTGTGGGAATGTTTAAAATGGGAGTTTAATTTCTTTCATATATTTTTTATTTCTTCATATTTCACTTTTGGTCATTTGTGTCTTTCAAGGGATTTGTCCATTTTTTCAAAATGTTGAATTTATTGGCATATAATTATTTATAATATTCCCTTGATATCCATTTAATGGCTGTAAGAACTATAGTCATATATCCTTTTGTGCTCCTAATAATGATGAGTTTACCCAAGGAGTTATTTCTTTTATTAGTCATTTGCAAGAACAACTTTGGGTTTCACTGGTTTTATCTATTGTTTGCTCATTTTCTATCTCATTGTTTTCTGCAGTCTTATTTATTTCTCTCTTCCTACTTACTTTGGGGTTCATTTGCTTTTTTTACCAGCTTCTTAAGGTAGAAGTTTAGATTATTGCTTTTCGGCCTTTCTTTTCTCTAAAGCACTATTTGGCTATATTTCATAAATTTTGATGTGTTGTTTTCATTACCATTTAATTAAAATATTCTGAGATTTCCCTTGTAATTTAATTTTGATCTGTAACTTTTCTAGAAATGTGTAAATTTTCAATCATTTGGAGGCTTTCCAGTTAACTTTTGTTCACTGATTTCTAATTTTGTTATGGTTAGAGAACTCACTGTGTGTAATTTCAATCCTTTTAAAGGTTTTTATGTCCTAGCACTATGATCTATCTTGGTAACTAATCCCTGTGTATTTGAAAAGAATGTATATTCTGCTATTTGTGGGAATATTATTCTATAAATGAAAGTTCAAATTGGTTGACTGTTTTTGAAGTCTTCTATATATTAACTGATAATTTTTTTTGTCTTTGTTCTCTGAAAGATGATTGTTGAAATCTCCAACCATAATTACAATTCTGTCTATTTCTCTTTTAAATTTTATCAGATATGCTTCATGTGTTTTGAAGCACTATAATTATATGCAAATATGTTTAGGATTATTATGTCTTTTTAATGAAGTGCTTTCTTTTATTATTATGAAATCTCTCCCCTCGATAATATTTCTTGTCCTAAAGTTGCTAATATTCCCGACCTAAAGTGTAAAGAATGTTGAGGTTTGTTTGGGTAGGCGATTTACTATGGGGTCAGCTTGATCCTGTTGAGATTTGTTTTTAATGTTTGTTAGGATGGGTATAAAGGAGTCTTTAATTTAGAACGTAGTTCTCAAATTTTTCAGTCTCATGGCTCCCTTAAGCTTTTAAAAGTTATTGAGGACTCCAAAGAACTCTTGTTGATGTGGGTTATATCAATATTTATCATGTTAGAAATGAAAACTGAGAAGTTTTATAATACTACTCTTTTTTTAAAATTTACGATTTTTAAATTTATAATTTTAAATTATAATAATAAACTCATTACATGTTCAACCCTCTTAACTATGTTCTTACTTATTTAGAGTTTTAATTTCCTCCCAACCACACATAAGCATATAAAATCTTGACCTACCTTGTGGAAAATGTTTCTCTCTCTCAAGGATGAGATATCAATAAAAAGAAATGAGAATTCTGGACTTACATCTAATCAACATGAAAGAGGCAGTGGGGATTGTATTTGTATGGTGTTGTATTTGTATTGTACCTTTCCTGTTGAAATATTAGTTTTCTTGATATGGAAACTGAATTTTTGTGCCCTGACCCATATGATAATTATTGTACTTAATACTTCCTTTTGCTTTATACTTTGAATGTCACTACAAAATATACTTTTGGTTGGTCTTAAGCCTTCTCTTGCTTTAGGTGGTTTGTTGTTTGCTTTTGGACACTTTAGAGGTTCCTGCTGCTTATTTATTTCCATTCTTACCTGTGTGTGCCTCTTTCCATCTGCTGCTTCTGTATGTACATTTTTATCTGAGATCATCAGCAGTCTCCCTCTTTAGCCACACTAACTTCCTTAACATTTTTTCTGCTTCCTTCTTCAACAAGATGACTAATGATCATACTACCTGAATTTAATGTTTTAGGATTTCCTAAGCCTCCCCCTTGCCCGTTTTGAACCTTCTACTGAATTTTAAAGTCTTCATTCCCTAGATTCAAAAAATCAAAAAATAAAAATAATGGAATATCATGTCATATTTATGTATATTTTCTATGATTGTTGTTAATGTTGCTGTTATTAGTGTTATAATAAATCCTAAGTGACAATCCTTTGACAACTCCTAAGGAACAGTTTTTTTCTCCCACGTTAATTAATTTGCTTGCTCAACAAATATCTATTGAGTACCTACGAGGTGCTGGGGGAAATGCAGTGACCAATACAGCCAGAGTCTGCCTTCGGGGATGTACTGTACAGCACGGTGACTATAGTAAATACTGCATTGCATATCTGAAAGTTGCGAAGAGAATAAATCATAAAAGTTCTCATCACAAAAAAACATTCTGTAACTATGTACGGTGATGGATGTTAACTGGACTTATTGTGGTGATCATTTTGTAATATATATGAATATCAAATCATTATGTTGTATGCCTGGAGCAAATGAATGTAATGTTGTATGTCAATTATACCTCAATAAAAAAAAAAAGAAGAAAGTTGAGGAAATTAAAAAAAGAAAAACAAAAACTCTGCCTTGGAATTTACATTCTAGTTGGAAGAGATAAAGGTAGCAAATAAACATTATCTAGTTACACCAAGTAGTGATAAGTGCTCTGGAGAAAAATCAGAGTAAAGGATATATCAGGAGTGTCCTGTTGGGTTGTTCTAATATAAAGATGTGTCGGGGAAGGCCTTGGCGACATTTGTGTTAAGACTTGAAAGAAGTAGAAGGAGCCAGGTGGATATATGTGGCAGAAGGATGTTCCAACCGAAAGAACAGAAAATGCAAAGGCCCTGAAACACTAATGTTACATAAACATACTAATGTTTGGCATATGTGAAGAACTGCAAGGAGGCCAGTGTAGTTGGAATGCCGTGGCCAGGGGAGAGTGGTGAGAGATGAGATCAGAGGGTAGTGAGTGCTGGATATGTGATGCCATAGAGGCCTCGGGGAAAGGACTTTTGCTGACAACACGTCCCACGTTTTTCCCAATTATTTCCCACATCACCAGCTAGGAGCTCCTTGCTATTCAGAACTCTCTCCAATATAGTGAGTGACTCCTCTCATTGAGTCCTCAAATGTATGAGAGGCAAAAATTGTCAGACTAAGACTCACTTAGAGACACGACTTAAACAGAATTGAAGTTTCCATGAGATGTTCAGATATTGTGTGTTCAACCTCACTGTTGCCCTATTCTGAGAACCTTCAACAAGTTAATTTCAGAGTAGAGGCTGCCCCCGTAGTTGAACTGAAATGATGGGTCTTTATAGTAGGAGCTCATTGAGGCATCTCTTAGGCCTCTGGACAGTACATAAAAGTTACCAGTAGAGGTCATACCTTATTAATATTTTTGAGTCCTTTTCTGTAAGGATATAGATTAACAAAGAATTGTTACTTAGTACACTAAAATTCAGTAAAATTTTATCTTGGGTTGTTAGGAGTGGTCTGTTGGCTGCCTTGTACAAATTATCCATTACCATGTAAAATATAAGTACTGTGTTAATAATGAAATAGATTTACCATTAAAATCACTGAGCATTTTAAGACGTGATATATGTATATACACTCTAGAATTTGCATCAGCATGTGCATTTATGAAAATACATGGCTCAACTCTATAAAAATTCATATTTGGCATGTCCAGTTGTTTAGATTCTAGATAAATGAAAAATTGCATAAAATAAGTATTAAAAAACTGATGGAAGTCCTTATCAAAAGATTGTTTTCTCTTTCAAGGAGATGGGTCCTGATGAATATGAAGAGATGGAAGAGGAGGAGGAGGAGGAGGAGGAAGACGACGACGATGATGACTCGGCAGATATGGACGAGTCTGATGAAGATGATGAGGAAGAGAGACGGAGGAGAGTCTTTGATGTTCCCATTCGCAGACGCAGATGCTCTCGCCTTTTTTAGGGAAGCCGTGCTGATGGAAGCCCTGGCGCGAATCCAGTCCGTTAAATAGATTTCCCAATAATGTAAATAACTAAATTGTTCGTTCTCCGCATATAGCAGGAAAACTAGCATGAAATATTGTTACAGGCCCTGGGTTCTATGCGACACTACGTTAGGAATTGGATCGTTTTGGTTTGCTTTGTGTTTTTGAAGTAGAGGAGGAAATGGGAGTCTTTTTTTCTTTCTCTCTCTCTTCTAGAAGTCAGTGGGAGAATAATTCTCTAGCTACAGAACAGACATTTCTTTGTTTCAAAATATTTTATACTTCTATAAATGTGGAAATGGAGGGGATTGTTTTGAATAAGGATTGAAAATGTAGCAGAAATACCTACACAAGGATAGAGAGAAACTATGTGACTGGATGATTCTGTGAAAAGACTTCTTGCAGTTGTGAATTACTTAGAAATGAACAGAATTTATAATTAGGCTAATCCATTTAGTAATTCCTATATATTTTGTACTCACAGGGAACTAATCGACTAAAACAGCTTGAATGCTAGTTGTTTGTCCTTTCTTAGACAATCTGTCCTTGAATTTAAAGTTTTCATCACTACGACCTTGACCTTAAAGTCTTTATCACTATGACCTTGGCCTTGCATTTAGTCTTCAACTCTACCAACCTTGAATTTATTTTAAAATCTTCAACATGACAACCTTGAACTTAAAGTCTTTAACGTTATGACCTTTGTCATACTGTTCACAGATGCATCACTTTTGACAATGTAGTGTGTAAAAGTATGTATTGTGTTGTTTATTAACAAGTCTTCACGATGTCTCATGTAGTCTAAATTTGTAAATACTGCTTCTGTTTTGTTTCTGCTTTATACACTTGATTGTCTAACTTTGTGATAAGTGACATGAATTTTATGTTAAGATTAAGTATGTTTTCCTGAAACATGGATTTTTTTTTTGTAATTATATAATTGAGAGTTTGGAATGAAATCCTCCAAGTGGCAAAAACTCACATTTTAAAAACGAGTTTTGGTTCTGATCCTGTATTTTGTGTAATTGCCTATTTTCCATAAACTAATATTAATCAGCCTTTGCTGTCAAGATGGAAGATGAAATGGAAATTCATTATCCTGTTGCCAGAGGCCCATTCAAAGTTATTTCTTGGCTGTGACTATATCCTATCGTATGCTTTGCCTTCCATTTTCCCCAAGGATACTTCTTTTCTAGGGAAAACTGTAGAAAGAGGGAAATGTATATGGGGTTAAGCAGTGCCCTCAGGGACCCCAAAGACCCTTTCATATTGGCACATGTCAGAATGTTCTGAAATGGAGTAAGTAGTTTTTCTTGTTTGGTTGGGGTTTTATTGTTTGTTTTTTAATTTTATCATCAGGCTACCAAATCCTTCTATTATGCTTATCTCTTCCTTTTTAAAAAGAACCTGTTGATTTTTTTTTTTTTTTTAATTCACGAGAGACGCAGAGGGAGAGAGGCAGAGACATAGGCAGAAGGAGAAGCAGGCTCCATGGGGGGAGCCTGATGTGGACCTCCTTCCCTGGACTCCTGGATCACGCCCTGAGCCAAAAGCAGATGCTCAATCGCTGAGCCACCCAGGTGTCCCAAGAACCTACTGATTTTTTAAAAAATATACTTTACCAATTAATAATTTAGAGCTAGTTAATGTTGAAACTTAAAGCTATTCCTAAGATCCCTTGCCATTTTTGCTTCTTTATCCTTTCTGGTTGACCTCTCTTGTCAGTTCCCAAAGTACTCATGATGCCCCAAATCTCCCCCACAACCCCAGCCACTTTTTGCTCCTTAGAATACTTCAAGCTTATTTATCCTTTCCTCTAAATTCACATTCTCTTAGTATGTTGAATGAATGACCTGTTGTTCAAACCAAGAGGTGACTGATTAATTGATAAGACTCTCAAGAGTTATTTCATTGGCAAGAATGTATATTCACACATAGAAGGAATCTAACAGTTGGCCAGCTTATGCTTTTGTAGAGTGAAGGCCATTTCTGGTTCTGAGATCCTTTGAGACCACCACCTATTTTTTGACTCATTTGTCTAAAGCTTGATGTATCAGGATGAGACCAATACCTAAATAGCAGCAAATCGATGAGGGGTTATTTTTCTCTTGTGAAAAGCCAGAAGTAACTAGTTGAGGACTGATTAACAGTGGTGTCTACATTCCAGATTCCTTCCAACTTTCTGTTCTACCATCCTTAGCACAAAGCTTTAATCATGAAGGATACCTCGTGGTTGCAAGGCGGCAGTTGCAGTCATACTCTATTCCAGGAAGGATGATGAGAAAGGGGACAAATTAAACATAAGGCCGGAGAGGTAAACCCACCAGGTCTCCAGCAGTCATGTGGCAGATAGGTAGAGACGGGTGACACAGGAATTAACACAGGCAGCATGGAGACCTCGATTCCGAGGTTTCTGGCTTCATTTATGAAGAAAAATTTGCAGGAAATGCAGTTGGATACTGGAGATGAGATTTGGATGCATTTTGAATTCAAGATGCCTTTAGGACACAGTTTCCAGCCATCAGTTGGGTATGAATATGAAGATCAAGGAAGAGTGGTCAGGGATGGAGAATAACCCCAAGGCAAAACTAAGCACCTTCAGGGTCCTCTCCCAGGGAGCACACAGCAGGGTCTCAGTCCAACCCTGACGACCTCAGATTTATAAGAGGTAGTGGAAAAGATTCAAGACTGAAATTTCGGTCAAAAAAACTAGAAGCAAAATTAGGAGAGGGTGGCCTCTCAGAGTCCAGAAGTTCCAAAGAGGGAACAGGATGTGTATGAGAAAATACGTGTGTATGTGAGTTTTGTAAACAAGGAAATACATTTATTCACTGTTTTAAGTAGAATTTAAGTAGGGGATCATCATGGTAGAAGGCACATGTCATCATCGGTTGTCATATGACTTCCCTGCTTAAATTGTATGTCGTGCACTCATGCAAGAAAAGGAGACTCAGGCTGCAGCAGGGTTGAATAACCTGATAGCCTGGCCAAGTGGGAGCTTGGCACGGGCACAAGAAAGTTTTTTTTTGAAACATTTTAATATATTTTTTTTAAACGAAGGGAAAATCATTAGTCATAGAATGTAATATTTTTGTTTCCTGTAGCAAATGGGAGGAGGACACTTACAGATTTTCCGTTTCGGGGATTTTAAAAGGTCTCAATGTATTACTGGTGGTCACGGTCTTTTTGCAAGCCTGGGCGGGGAGCCTGAGTCACCCCGGCAAGGAGTGGCAGCCGGGGCTCCCCGGGCGTCGCCGGGTGTCCTGGGAAGGCGCTGGCAGTGCCAAGGGTCCGCAGACCGCGCGAGGCCTGGGGCGACCTCGGACTCCCAGGCGGCGGCCCAGCGGGTCCCGGCCGAGCCTCGGAGGGGGCGGGGCCTGCGGGCGGGGGGCGGGGCCTGCGGGCGGGGGGGCGGGGCCCGCTCCACCGAGGCTATAAAGACGGGCGGGGCCGCGCGCGCAGGCTGCGCAGGGTCTGCGGCGGGATCCCGGGTGCGGGCAGGTAAGGCCCGAGGAGGCCCCGCGCGCGCGCGCGCGCGCTCACCGGCGGCGGGGCCCGGGCGGCCGGAGACCCCGGGGAGGGCGGGCTGGGGGCGTCCTCCCCAGGCCCCTCGCTGCCGCCCGCCGCCCGCCGCATCCTCGCCGCGGGGGCGCCCCGAGAGCCCGGCAGAAGTCTGTCCTGCTTTAGCAGAAAGAGAAGGGCGGGAAGAGGGCGCTGTTTGCCGAACACCCCCAAGTCCCGCGCGGAGCCTCCCCCGCCCGCGGAGTACCCCCACCCCCACCCCCACCCCCACCCCCCCGCCTCGCCTCGCCGGGAACCGGAGCTGTGACGCGGGGCAGCGACGCGCGCCCGGGGAGGAGGGGGGCCGGTCCCGCGCGGGCGCGGGCGCGGGCGCGGACGCTGTCGGCTCCGCGTACAAATGTGGAATCGGGAGGAGGGCGGGGCCGAAACGCGGACATTTGAAGTCCAGCCTGAGGTGACGTGGGCGGGGGTGCGGGGCGGGGACACGTGTCCCCGCGGCTCGTGCCGTGTTAGGGAGACGCAGCCCCCCGGGCCCGGACAGGTGCCAGGTCACCTGTTCCGTTTCTGCCCGTCGCCGACACACGCGCTCGGGGGCCGGGAAGCGGCTCCTGGCAGGTGCCGAGCGGCCCCGGGACCCACCCGGGCGGAGGCCTCCGAACCTCGGGCCTCGCGTGCGCTCGTCGCCCGCGGGAGGCGCCGCGCGTGGGAAGGCGCGGGCCGGGAGGCTTCCTGGGCTTGGCCCTGCCACGGCGTTTCCCCTCCTCGCTGTCCGGGCCGTGTGACCCGCCGATTGCTCCAGAAATCGGGTTGCTACCCGGCGGCGGTGACTTCCCCGGAGAGGTCGGGGGTGGGGGGCGCCCAAGGAGACCGGCTCCCCAGCCCTCGCAGCTGCGGCGCTTCCCCTTCTTCTCTACAGGCCACCCCGTCAGCGTCACAGCCTTTAGAGACAGAGCCTCCTCCGCAGGTTAGCTTGTGATAATAAACAGTTTTTGAAGTGGAGGGAGAGACCTCATAGTAGAGGTTTGTGTGTGTGTGTGTGTGTGTGTGTGTGTGTGTGTTTAAATGATTTTGTTATTCATGAGAGACACACAGAGGCAGAGACCCCGGCAGGGTCCCTGCGGGGAGCCCGATGCGGGACTCGATCCCAGGACCCCGGGGTCACGACCTGAGCCGAAGGCAGATGTTCAACCATTGAGCCACCCAGGCGCCCCCAGACTAGTAGAGTTAACCCAGAGATGGCTTTGGGTTCAGTGCTCGGGGAAACCCCTCTTACCTCTCCCACTTTGCCCTGCCTTGCCTCGCTTAGCCTGCTGGAGGCCGTGGCTCTGGAATCCACCTGCAGTGGGTGTGCTGAGGAGCGGTGGTGAGTTCGCACTTTCCTACCAAGCTCAGGTGGCACAGCGTAGTAGTCCAGGGCCTGGGCATCAGGCCGGGGTTGTTTTTTTGTTTTTGTTTTTAAAGATTTTATTTATTCATGAGAGAGAGAGAGAGAGAGAGACAGAGAGCGAGGCAGAGACACAGGCAGAGGGAGAAGCAGGCTCCATGCAGGGAGCCCGATGCAGGACTCCATCCCGGGACTCCAGGATCACGCCCTGGGCCAAAGGCAGGCACCAAACTGCTGAGCCACCCTGGGATCCCCCTCCGTCCGGGGTTTGAATCTTGACTGGGTGGGTAATCCTGAGCAAGCTATTTAACCTCACCTTTGAGTCAGTAAAATATGAGGCCTTATTTCATAGGGTATAATATGGACCAAAGGAGACAGTTCCTGGAAATCAGTTTGGCACCTGTCTGCGGAGAACAACAAATGGCGGCTCTTAGTATTTCGGGTACCCTTGTGACCCCAGGGCGATGGTCCCTGTTCCCTACAGTGCAGAGGGACAGGGGGGCATCTTACTTCCAAATCTCTAAGGAAGGCAGGCGGAGCTCTGAATGTTCACTAAGGGGGTGGAGTGGGGTGGCAACATTTCCAGACCCTGGTTATTCACTCTGGGAGGAAATTTAAAACCTCAAGGTAGGTAGGGAGTCGCCTACAGAGGACAACCCATGCCTGGAACTGCGTGCTTCTGGATTTTCAAAACAGAAACAGGAAACCTCAGTGTAAGGAAGACAGCCCATTATTCTGAGTGGTCTGGAAGATAAAAGCCCACATAAAATCCACTTCAGAGTGAGGAGAGCGGTGTGTGATGGAATTCATCTTTCACAGATATGAGCTCTTGAAACAAGGCAAATTAAAAATTCGAGGCCAGCTCTTTGAACGTCCTCCAGGTGGCCACAAAGGAAAACACGCCCAGAGTCACTTGAGGTTTTCCAAATGGGAAGACGTGTTTTTATCTACGCCCCAGATCTTTGTGAGATATCTTCACTGAACCATCGGCTTCTGTGCATGTGTAATCTCAAGGGGTAGGACCGGGAGGAGGATATCTCCTGAGGCCCTCTCGGGAAAGCTCCCTAGCTCTCAGGGCCCTGGAACACATGGCAGAGAAGGT